CTGGTCGAAGCCTTCGAGGTTCTGAGGGCATATCAAATGAAGCTCAACCCTGCTAAATGTGCCTTTGGAGTCACCTCGGGAAAATTCCTTGGCTTCATGGTAAACAACCGGGGAATCGAGGTCAACCCCGAAAAGATTAAAGCCGTGATCGAGATGGAGGCACCTAAAACGCTGAAGTAGCTTCAGTGCCTCAATGGCAGGATTGCGGCCCTGAACCGGTTTGTTTCAAGGTCGACAGATAAATGCCTCCCTTTCTTCAAGGTCTTACGAAAGAAAGGGTCGTTTGAATGGACAGCGGAGTGCGAGCAAGCGTTTCAGCAATTGAAGAGCTACCTCTGTTCGGCACCCTTGCTTGCCAAGCCCATGCCGGGGGACAAGCTCCAATTGTACCTAGCAGTGTCTGACAGTGCCGTCAGCTCGRCCYTAATCAGGCAAGAGGAAGCGCRGCAAAACCCGGTCTACTACACAAGCAAGGCTATGACCGAAGCCGAGACTAGATACCCTCAGATGGAGAAGTTGGCTCTCGCTTTGGTCACCTCGGCCCGACGACTTAGACCATACTTCCAAGCCTATACGGTGGTGGTGCTCACTAACTTGCCCCTAAAAAGCATCTTCCATAAGCCAGAAGCTTCTGGTCGCCTAATGAAGTGGGCAATGGAGCTAAGTGAGTACGACATYCWGTTCGAACCCAGAACTGCGTTGAAAGGACAAGCAGCGGCARATTTCATAGCCGAGCTCACACCACCTTCCGAGCTGAGCGAGTCCGACCTRCCGTGGACAGTCTATGTCGACGGATCCTCCAATGAGAAGGGGTGCGGAGCCGGGGTCCTCTTGCTCGGACCAGGGGGTGAGCGATTTGAGTATGCCTTGCGGTTCAGCTTCCGGACTTCTAACAACGAGGCAGAGTATGAAGCATTTATTGCCGGCCTGCGAATCGCTCGAGCATTGGGGGCCTCATGTGTTAAGGTCTTCAGTGACTCCCAGCTGGTTGTGAGCCAGATCAAGGACGAATACCAAGCCAAAGACACCCGAATGGAGAAATATTTGGGCAAGGTCAGGTCATACCTCGCCCAGTTTCGAACTTACGAGGTAAGCCGGATTCCGCGAGCAGAAAATTCTAATGCTGATGCCTTGGCCAAGTTAGCATTCGGCGTACGAGACCGACCTCGCCAGGTCGGTCCCCGTCGAGATCCTAGATAATCCCTCGATCTTAGAGCCAGATCTGATGGAGATCGGCGCTCCAGAATCCTCATGGATGGACCCGATCACGGACTTCATTAGGGGTAACTCACCCCAAGATCCCAAGGAGCGCAGAAAGTTGGCAAGGCGRGCAGCTCGGTTCGTGGTCCGAGATGGTGCATTGTACCGACGTGGCTTTTCCCTGCCTCTATTGAAATGCCTAACCCCTGAAGAGGGCCTGTACGTCCTCAGAGAGATCCACGAAGGAGTGTGCGGCAATCACTCAGGCGC